GGTTTCGTCCTCCCAATTCATTCCTCATTCGTCCTTCCAAATCTCATCTCAATTTTCTTCAACAGATTTTAATATGGTAGGCACATTTATTTTATTTTTGGCAGCTAATATTAATTCTGGACATTAATAACATTTGGAAAAACTTCGTAAGTTAACAAAGGAACAAAGACAGGCGTGTCGGGATAAGTGAGGGTGTTTGGTGTTGGGTGGTTGCCATTGTGGCAGGCATCTCTAATTGTTGTGCCCGTAACCATGATGATGTCTTCTCCTACCTTAATTCATGGCCCATTTTTGCAAAACCCCTATCATGCTTACCTCACATTTTGAGGGCCCCCATTAGTTTACTTCAACTGCTGCTTTGATTCTTGTTATAAGTTATTCACAATTCATCTTCACACATTAAAAAATATATTATATTAATAGAATGTTTTAAATGTATTCTTATTAAATTTCTATTCCTCTCTATATTACAGATCAGTCTCACTTCTCTCTCTTTTTTCTCTTTTTCCAACAGAAATAGTAGTTAACATTTAAAATATCAACCATAAACTCTATAAATAACTTATATTTGAAACCAAACTTTTCACCTACAAGTAACATGTAAGAGGAATCAGGGCGATAATTTTATGTTGTATTAGGTGTGTGGAAGAAGCTCTTCCTCTATAGAGTGAGAAAATTTTTTCCTTAAGTGATTATAGGATTTAACAAACTGACATCTTCTTTTTTTTTTTCCATGATTGTCTGGCGTTCAATTTTAAATTTTTCTACAGGGACATAAATCAGGAGGCTATCAACTAATATCAGGTTTAAAATAATTTCAGCTAACGTTAACAAGACACACAAGCAAACGACTGGAAAAAGAAAATACGATAAGAAGGCAAAACCAAAGATATATATATATATTTTTTAACCAAAGATATATTTTTGTGCTCATATGTTATCCCCAAAACCTGTAAATTGGGCCTTTTTAAAATGAGAAGCAAAATACTCGAAGCTGGGTCGTGCTATTTGGGCTTGATCCTGCTTACGTATTTTTTAAAATACTTCTGAGACCTCTTAAACACCCTCTCAATTAGATAGGTTATGTTTAAAATCTATGTTTCGCATGGGGAAGAATTCGCCCTCTTTCCTCCTATTTTTGTTTTTCTAATCAGTAGATTAATATTTAAATGATTCAGATTTTTTTTTCATGAAATTATTATCAAAATGTTAAATTATGAAATGAAAAATAGATAATTAAATTTAAATTACTAAAATTTGATATGAAAAATTTAATATTGTATTAAAGAAACTAAAAACAATATTTTGAAAAAAAAAAAAAAAGGAAGGAAGAGGATGAAAATTGGAAAGGGAGTATGAAAGAATCCTTTCCCAGAACAAGCTTCAATCAATAATAGAGTATTTTAGAAGCTCATAACAAGCAAATGCAGGCAGATGAATTTTTATTTTTAAGGCATGAAAATTTCAAGAAAATTGCTGTTTTTGGAGAAATCTCCTAGATTGGATCTAACAATAATAGGATGGGGGAAAGGATAATGGATTCGTGCCTATAGATACCAATCAATATATCAATTTATGCCAAACCTCATCAACTCTGTAGATATACAAAGTATATTGTCACTCCCTACGTTTTCTTGTGAAGAACATTTTTCGCTTTTTAAAATCTGCCTCTTTCAAACTCATTTATTACTACCTTTTCTAATGGCATCCTTGAATTTTTAAAAGCTAAATATGTCTACTACTAAAATAAATCAAAACAATGCTTAAAAATTATAAACATATTAAATTATATTTCTCAACCCCATCACACAAAGGAAGCCAGATTGGTGGTTTATTAGATTTTACTGTCCTTCGTCTCTAAATACAATAACAAACATACTTGTTTAGGCTTTATTCTTTTTTGTAGTACATGTTCTGAATAATACGAAATTGTTAATTTATAATAAAATTTTATCATTATATAGATAATGCAATTCATTTTTCAACCTAAGTTATTTTTCAGAAACTAGGCGGTATCTTTCGGCCGATAGTCAGATCCTTCCCAAGACGTAAAGATCACTGAAATGAATTTTGTCTCTCTGGGATAACTTTATCACATACAGTCCAGACAATTAAAATAGGAAAGTTAACAGGGGAAAAAAAAAAAAAAAGAACCAAGAGGTTGGCGAATGATGGGCTTGGTTACTGAAACGCATTCATGGATCATGAGGAGTCGGTGCTCGAGGGGGACCACAGTGGGTAGGTCCTTTTTTTTTTTTTTTTTGGGTACAATAGAAAGGTCTTTTGGGTGCACACTTTTGCCTTCAGGGGGGGGGAACACTAAACTAGGAAATTTGCACCCAGGATCAACATTATAACAAAAAATAAAATAAAGTTAAATGTGAAGAACCACCAATTCAAATATCCATTTAGTGTTAATTTTAAGAATCATTTTCATCCAATGACATTACGACAACATATTAAACTTTTTCCTTCACACTAAATCAAGTTGATAATTGATAGCTATAATCGAGATTAAAATTTCTGGGGGAAAAAAACGATAATGATAAAAACAAATCCTTTGCCCTTGCACTAAATCAGGTAGAAGAAAAGGAAACGAGGGGCGATATGGAGCATGAAGCATGGAAGGAGAGGTCTATCTGTCTGCCTTGGGAATGCGTGGCTTCTGGCCTTAATGGCATTCAATGCTCTCTCAACTGTCTTCCCCAACCCTTTAAGCGATAGTTCAACCTTTCTTTTATTTATCTCCTGTCCCACTTCTCCTCCATTCATCATCATCGTCATCTTCTTCTTCCTCTTCATCATCTTATTCCTACTCTTCTTCACTGCTCAACCATGGAGAAAGGTAGTGCGGCTGCAGCCCAAGGCCTGTTACTGCTGAGGACGAACATGGAAGCTCCCCTGCCCTCCGTACTTCTGAGACCGTCCTTCGTCTCCTTCCCATCGGCCTCTCTGTTGCAGCCCTTGTCCTCATGCTTAACAACTCCCAAGCCAACGAATATGGCTCTCTTGCTTACACTGACCTTGGCGCCTTCAGGTTCCTTCATTCTCCTCTGTTTTGATCTTCCCTCGTACTCTTCAAATTGAGATCTTACTTGTCATTCCCATCTTTCAAAATGTTTGCATAATAGTAGTACATTCCTAGCATCGAACACAGTGCCGTCTTGACATGAGAAGCACAACACACCACTTATTGAGATGCTGCTACCCTAGAAATATGCAGATTCACATCGTTTATAGGTTTTGGCTTCTTTAGTATTTGTGAAATACCAATGATAAGAAATTGCAACCGCTGTAACATGGGATTTCTATTTGCTTGATCTTTGGAGACAGTCTAAAATTTTTGTAGGACTATCAACATGGAAATGCAAATGCCTCTGCATCATTGAAAATAGAATATCACAGCTTGGGTTTTTTTCCGCCCTTAATCACACTTAATTTCTTGAAATCTAGATGAGAAATATACTATGATGGTGAAAAAAGCTTCTTACTTTGCCATCGCGTAGGTACTTGGTGCATGCCAATGGTATCTGTGCCGGTTACTCACTCTTTCAGCAGCCATCGTTGCTATGCGTCGCCCTCCCACCAAGTCTCGAGCTTGGACTTTCTTCTTGCTTGACCAGGTCATTTCATCTCTTTCTTTCTTTGGCCCTTCTTTGATATGAACATATACACCTGAATTACCACATGTGAAGGAACTAAGGAAGAGTATTACCAACTCATGACATAAAATATGTTCAAAATGTGTTGGTATAGGTGCTTACTTACATAATTCTGGGCGCTGGGTCGGTGTCAATGGAGGCTCTATACCTGGCGGAGAAGGGAAACGCCTCCACAATGTGGAGCTCGGCTTGTGGGTACTTTGGGCGGTTTTGTCACAAGGCCACGGCCTCCGTCGCTATCACCTTCCTAGCTGTGGTTTGCTATGTGTTGCTTTCACTCATCTCCTCCTACAAGCTCTTCAGCAAGTTTGATCCTCCCGCAACCAACCCTACTGCCGCCTCCGCCGCCACCAAAGCCATTGACATCCCTGCATTCCATGGCTGACACAGCACTTCCGTAGCAATCTGTGCTCGAAATTCTGAAGTGTCCCTTGCTGCTGAATTTTAGTATATATCAAGACTTGTGTTTGTAACGAACAGATATCCCACTTCAGTACAATATAAGCTATTTTTAAATACCTTGCTTCTGGTCCCCAAAAAAGAAATATAAAGATTTAGACAAGAAAATACCTTGCTTATATTACTTGCCATGAATAAGATGAGCACTGTCTTCTGGATCGCAAGACCACAAATTTGCCTTTACAAATTACAAGCGGGCTAAGGAACGGGAAACTTTTTTTTTTTTTTTAATTCTAAAAAAAGATTAAAAAAATCCAATGTATTTCAATTTATACAAAATGCTTTCTATTTTTAAAATGTCCAATATAAGTTTTAACAAGTAGGCTATTTCTTTGTAAAATTGTGCTCAATTTCATATGCGGCAATTCTGTCAAAATCTCTTTAGGCCACCAAATGTTTTTTTTTTTTTTTAAGTAGTGTAGGATACCACTCTGTCATGCTTGAACATCATCGAACCCAAGACAAGGTAATTAGCATCTTTTGACATTGGCACAGATTGGACTTGAACAATCATAACCCCCTCTGGGTTTTTATTATAACCTCGATTCACACAGCGTACATTATGCCTCTAATGAACAGGCAAGCTTTTATGATTTTAAAGTCATGACCATTCTGGCGTTATTGGTATCGTCACCATGGCTGTATTAATTAAGGTAGCTGATAACAAACGCAAGTTAGCCAATAGTCACCACCTTCGTTGAAGACAAGTCAGTCAATCTTTAATTTCTATTCAATGAGAAATGAGAGCCGACCGCTCATAGCTTCTTCTAGAAGAGTCGGACCAGATTGTACAGTGAACCGCTCAAGAAAAATAGGCACTAGACAGTCAAACATACAAATCTTCATCCAGTATAAGATCAGATAGGGATTAAAGATGAGGAAGTGAAGCGCAACAACTTGTAAGTTTCCAACTGTTAAGATCACGAAGTACAATGATCCATATTCAATCCATCTGGACGAAGAGTCTGAGACTCCTAGTTCTAATAGGGATACAGAGACAGCTAAGATCGGACCCTCTATCTTATTCACTCTCCATCGGAATTAAGTTAAATTATCATAGGCATAGTATGATTACATAACAAAGTCGAAAACAGAAAGGAGAGGGTACAAAAACATGGGAAAGAAACGAAGCACAAAATCTAATATCACAATCACGAGCTAGCAGGCTGCTGAAGGAGACTGTACCCAAACGATATTGTGCAAAACATTAGAGCGAAAAGTGCCAACATAGCATATTTCCTGCAAGAATATTCATCAATTTACAAAGACGTTTAATTAGACGAACCAAATTTGATCTGAGAAGCGATTTTTGAGATAAAAAGAAAAAGAAAAAGGAAAGGAAAAAAAAGAGGGTGCAAACCCGATCTTGAGCCGGTTCTCTGGCTCACCGGTGGAATAGCCAGTGAAATAGAAATATCGAGCAACGATGTATACAACTCCAAGGGCAGCACAAATGCAGGGATGCTTCAGCCCACCGAGAATCATTAGCATGAAAAACATAGGCATCATTTCCAGGGAATTTTGGTGCCCTCTCTATAGTCAGAGACACGAAAAAGAAGAATCAATGAAAAATCAAATAACAACAACCCCCAACCCCGAAAAAGGAAAATCTCTGAATTGCTATGGAATTGAGACCTGAACGCAGTTGAAGCGCTTAGCATCTTTGTTTTCGGATTCTGAGGCATAGAGGGTAGGATAAAACACTTTATACCTGCGAAGAAATTCGACAAACACCTTGTAAGCAAATGACAATGTTAAAATTGAGAAACTAAAAAGGAAGAATTGAATGGGGAGATACTTCTTGCGAGCTTTGCCCACTTGAGCTGCCATGTAGAAATTGAGAAAGCAGTAGAGAACGAGGACGAGAGCCACATAGCCATATTCTTTAGGAAGCAATTCCATTACGTTAGCCATTTTTCGGTCGAACGGAAAATTCCAGAGCGAATCGGATGAGGAAGAAAATGGTCGGAGAATAAAAGAAGCGGCTAGATCCCCTTATATAAACATACACAAGAGACTCAAAACCACATCGTTTGGTTCGGTGGTCCCAGCGGCACAACCGCACAAGCACGCAGATTATTCCAAAGTCTGTGCTTCTGGTCGCTTCCGCAGCTTCTGCTCCAAGGAAAGGTTGACTTGGACCATTTGGTATATGAAAAATGAGAATTTTAGCCAGAAAAATAGTGCTGGGGTAGGTGTCTAATGAGTAAACAAAATGAGGTCTTCAATTCATCAATACTTAATATTACTTTCAGTTTTTAAAAACTCATTTGATTTTTATTTTATTTTTAAATATAAAATCTCAATTTATTTTATCTTTTATATCAATTTATTTTTTTGAAGTAATTCTAACTAATATATTTTATTAATAAGGATATTTTAAGAAAAATAATACTTATTTATTATAAATAATTAAATTAGTTAATTTTTTAATATATTTAAATTAGTTAATTGGTTGAGCGAATATAGTAGTTAAGAGAAGAATGACATCCAAAAAGTCAACATTAGAATGAATTTGATTGAGATATAAAAAGCATTAAGAATCAGAATTTCATTGGGCCGAAAGAGAGTTGCCATTTGAAAGGAATATGCTAAGCCCAATGAATAATTAAATTAGCGGAGCCGGTCAAATGACTTGTTGTGGTCATCGAACATGGGGTTTGGTGGTCAAAGAAGGTTGCTCTCACTCACCTGTTACTGTTAGGTCCCAAGCTCCAATGGGTGACACACTATTATTTCCAGGCTTATTAACGCTAAGCCACAAAGTGCACTTTTGCTTTCTTAGAATGATGGATCAGAATAAGTTTCCAAAAAGAGCACACATAATTAGTGTCACCCTCGAGAGAAAGCAGGAGAGAAATTTCATTGGCCAAACATTTTATGCTGTTCCTTGTTGATTGCGAGAGGGGAGCACTCCATGGAATTCAAATTTGAACTTTCCCAGGAATCGTAGGGTGCTGCACTCTTCAATCTGAAAAGCCTGAGAGGCGTGATTAGTAATAATTTGTGAATAAAAATGGGTTTGGTATTGGTAGTTAAATAAGTAATTGGTTAAGCTAATTCCAATGCGTGAATGAATAAAAGTCGAAATGTTCAGATAATTGCCTTTTGTTATCAATTTAATCTATGTACTAAGAACTGATTAACGTGGCTACTTATAATGCTGGCACTCAATACAACTTTTTCCCCCGAGAGACATCCTCATCGATTACAGAATACAAGGAATCATTTATTCCTGCACTGAGAGAGGAAACACACAGCGACCTTTCTTCAAGCATGAAAGGTGTGTCTGGGGCTCCTATCTGTGAAATCATGACTGTAGAATCAGAAAGAACGTCAAAGCTCTCCAAATCTTCCAAGGAGTATCGTATTAGAGTGACGAATCCTACTGATGAAGTGAAAGGCATTGCATCGTATGAACCTCAGGCAGTAGATCTCATTGCCTTCTCAGACATTAGGCCAAAGAGCATAGATGACTTGACCAAACCCCAAGATACTATCATATTGCCTATGTTCTTGGGACAAAAGATGAGAATTCTGATAAGATTCCTATACTGTCATCAAAGTTCATGGATATCGAACCATGTACGAGGATCAAGCAGAATCAAAAGCTTTATGCTGTCTACCTTTTGAACATGATTGACTATGTTCGTATTTGGAAAACCTTGAACTCGGACCTTGAGGGATTCAACATGAACATCATTCATAAAGTGCTACGAGCAGATTCAACCGTAAGAACCACTGATTCATTTTCGCATTGTCATCTCATTAACAATACCAATATTCCACAATGAGCTTCCCAGTAGTTTAAAAGCATAGCAGTTGTAATGCCACTTACTTAACTATCTGTATTTATTTAAGCAAGGATTATTCGGCAATCTTAGTTTATCTATCTATGAAAGATAGATATATTTAAGTAAAGCCAATTTCTAAGAAATGCTTGCTCTGTATACTACAGAATGGAGGAAACTGTAGTGTTTTCTTCTCTGGAGAAAATCACAATGTGGATTTTACTACACAAAGCATAATGAGATCTCAGAATCTAAATGAGTCCCAGAAAGATGTAGTTGCAAGCTGTGTGGGCTTTGAGGGGATGTTCTCTTAATAATACTGTCAAACTCATATGGGGTCCTCCGGGAACCGGCAAAACAAAGACAGTTGCTTCCTTGCTGTATTCTCTGCTCAAATTAAAAGCCAGAACATTGGCATGTACTCCAACTAACAAAGCAGTGTTGGAAGTAGCAGCTCGATTGCAGAGCACAGTGACAGACTCACTCGAGTATGAAACATATGGGTTTGGCGACATAGTTATATTTGGAAACAGCTCTCGGATAAAAGTGGAAGGTTATCAGGGCCTTCGCGATGTCTTTCTTGATTATCGTGGTGACAAACTTCTCAAGTGTTTTGCTCCACTCACTGGATGGAAACATCACTTGGAATCAACGACCAAGTTGCTTGAAGACCCTCAAGAAGAATATCGTTTATATATGATCAGAGAAAATGATGAGGAGGAGGATGATCTTATGTCATTAGAGCAATTTGTGAAAGATTACTATAGCGATATTAAAGACTATTATAGTGATATTGAAGAAAAATACAATTAAGAGAAACAATGTCTCAACATTAGAACAATTTGTGAAGCAGAGATTCAGTTCCATTAAGAAGGAGCTCCAGTTCTGCATGCTAACCTTGTATACACACTGACCATCATCATTCGTTTCATTTGAGGTGGTGAAGAGCATGTTAAGAACTTTGGATTTGCTAAAGTCAATGGAAAGATTCATGTTGGCTATCAGGATTGACCTTGTTGACTATGAAGGTGGAGAAAGCATTGATAATAACTATGGAAGCTCAGGCTTTGCAAGACAGGGGTGCCTTTACATACAAAGGCCACTTTCTGAATCAGTTTCTCTTCCAAACATTACAGAAAGATATGTCTTGTCAAATTCTTGCTGGTCAAATGCATGCTTGGTTTTCTGCACAGTATCAAGTTCTGCAAATTGTGCACAGAAGGAATGACGCCTCTGCAACTTCTAGTAATTGATGAGGCAGCTCAACTCAAAGAATGTGACTCAGCGATTCCACTGCATGTGCCAGGCCTCGAGCATGCTATTCTTATAGACGATGAGAGGCAGCTACCGGCAATAGTTAAAAGCGAGGTAATCGAGCTTCCTTCTCATTCTTCATGATTTTGATTATGGAAACACTTGCTGATTCTTGCTTAATACGTTCAAAATGATGAACATGTTTTAGGTTTCTAAAGAGGCCGAATTTGGGAGAAGCTTGTTTGGGAGGCTGGTATTGTTAGGATATGGGGAGCATTTGCTCAATTTCCAGCACAGAATGCATCCATCAATCAGCTTATTTCCAAATAGAGAATTCTATGACAAGAAACTTTCTGATGCCCCAAATGTCAGAATGACAGGATATAAAAAGCGTTTTATTGAAGGACAAATGTATGGGACCTATTCTTTTATCAACACATCGACGGGGAAAGAGCAATCTGGTCCACGATGCTATGGTTGTAAGAACACAGTTGAGGCCTCGGTTATCTCACAAATTATTCAAAGCCTTCATAAAGGTCCCTCTTTACTCTTCCTTATTCTCGTGTGTATTATTCCAGTGTTAGAATGAACTGAAGTTTAGAAGACTTTATACTCATGATCTATTTTTCTTTTCTCTGCAGAGTTTCTCAGCACAAGGAAAAAAAGTCGGCGTGGGAGTCATATCTCCATATAATGCTCAGGCTTGTGAGATTCACGAGAAAGTTAAGGAGCATGGCTCAGTTTCTGATCCAAACTTCTGTGTTAGTGTTCGTTCTGTTGATGCCTTCCAAGGTGGGGAAGAAGACATCATAATAATCTCCACGGTAAGGCCTAATGGAAACGGAAAAGTAGGTTTTCTCAGTGATATGAGAAGAACAAATGTGGCGCTCACTCGTGCTAGGGACGTCACTAAAGAATTTGTATCAATATATATATATATATATATATGTAGTCACTATATAGTCACAACGCTTCTTGAAAAGTTGATATGAAGTTGGGTTTATAAATTTTCCTGCAGGCATTGTTTGTGGGTACTGGGGAACGCAGCAACTCTGATAAATAGCAATTCTATTCTATTTGGAGAAAACTTGTGCTTGATGCTAAGAATAGAGAGTGCTTCCATAATGCTGATGAAAACAAAGACGTGGCTCAAGCCGTTGATGATGCCTTGCTTGAGCTCGAACTGCTTGATGAACCAGGGCCAATATTTAAGAGACTGACCATAGAGAGTGCATGTTGAACTTAGCCATAACTTGACACGAATTCGTATAATAATATTAGTATAATCAATGGCAAAATTGAAACAGGATTGTGATCCATGTTTTGTGGCCTTACTGATAGTTTGAACTTTGAAGAACTGATATTGCTGATATAATTGAATGCAGAGGTTCTTTCTGGGGCTGGCCACGGACCCCAAGTTGGTGACGAGCAACCTTAAGGCCTGCTTGACATATTCTGTGGAATAGAATAAAGCCTAATGGCATAAGATTTGATAAGGATGGATTGTTTAAGGTTTGATGATATTTTAATACTATTACGATGTAATGTAATGTTTATTGCTGAGGTTCGCAGTTACAAGACAATGTTTAACGTGGTGGGTGTGTTTGTTTTTTGCTTTCTACGTGAGTTCTATAAAAATAATAATCTCTTCCATTTGCATTTAAAATCAAAAGACGTTAGTTGGTCGGATATGAGAATTATTTTCTTCAGAAGGTTCTTATTTTAAAAATTACAGTTGACTACATTAACATTTTTTAGATGTAATGAAAACCGTTTCCTCTTCTTTTTTTTTTGTTGAATAGTTTTATTTTCTGCATGATAAAATATTGTTCTTAAATTAATAACTAGAGAGAATAAACCAATGTTATATTGTAATGTCGGGCCGTATTTTAATCATAATTTATGAGCAAACATAATTTAATTAGTTTTTTTTAATGGAGTCATATTATATAAAAATTAATTAAGTACAGATTTGACATGAAATATAATTGAATCAAACATGAAGATACCACATTTTAAATTTTGAAATATAGGGGGGGAAAACCTAACTACTACCTCCGGTCCTAATTATAAGACCCAGTTGACTTATTTGAGAAGATTAAAGAAGTAAGTTAAGTTAGTTGTTTGTACTAAATAAGTGTTGTCATTCCTAAAATATCCTTGCTAATTAAGTGTATTGGCTAGAACTATCATTATTAGAAAGACTATCTTGAAAAAAATACATAAATATGAGAGATAAAATGGATTGGAGTCTTATAATTAGGACCAAACAAAAAGTCAAACGGAGTTTTATATTAAGGACCGGAGGTATTATTTTTAAATCTAGATCACCGAACAATGCAAGTCCAACACGCCAAGCCTCGCTTTGAAGATTTAAAAAAATCACACAAGGGTATGCATGAACTGATATAAAACAATCACTCATGACGATTTCCTTGCTTTGCTGGACCGGTCGAGCTTGGTCCCAATACAAAGTGACCGACCTGCCTCAAATACTTTGGTCCTCCTTAAAATCCAGCTCTGTTCTTCCTCTGCATCAGATTTCCACACACCAGACATAACTCAGAAAAGGGTTCTGTTCCTATGAGCTGACTATGTCGAAGATGCCGAGGTGTAAATGCCTGCTTCCATTCCTGTGTCGTGGTAATGTTTCATTATTGCTAATGTTTTCCATTTCATTTTTGTATATGTGGATGAATTTGGACTGTAGTTGGTGGTTCCATTCCAAGCTTTGCAAGCATACGGCGTCTCCGTCGATGCAGTTTGCCCCGGAAAGAAAGCCGGCGACACCTGCCCCACTTCCATTCATCAGGTCTCTCATTGACTGTCCCATTAAGTTTTTGTCCCTACAAAAATTATTTTTCTGATTAGTTTATACAAACCCAAATTTTCACGGCATGGTTGATTTCTTAGCAGCATCTCAGTTGTTTTTTTCCATTTGATGTGGAAACTAGATTCGGATTTGTCCAGAGTTGCGTGGTCACGATTTCACTCTCAACGCAACGTTCGACGAAATCAAATCTGCAAACTAAGATGTATTATTAATCCCCGGTGGGAGGTCACCGGAGCATCTCGCTCTTATTCCAAATGTTGTGCAACTAGTTTCAGAATTTGCCGATTCTGGAAAACCAATCGCTGCTGTCTGTCACGGAGCGCTGGTTCTGGCGGCTGCCAGAGCCATCAAAGGTCGCAAGATCACTGGATTCCCCACAATCAGACCAGTACTCGTGGCCGCCGGTGCAGACTGGGTTGAACCGGAAAGCATTGGCTCTTCTATAACCGTGGTCGATGGTAATCTCATTTCTGCCGTTTCTTACAAAGGCCATTCCGAATTCATACGCCATTTTGTGAAAGCTTTAGGAGGCACCATTAGTGGCTCCCCCAAAAAGATCTTGTTTATTTGTGGAGTAAGTTCGTATCACTTTCTTCACTTTTGCCAGAATTTCACTAAATTGTATACGAATTGTTAGGACACAATCTCTGAACATGTTGAATTTGAAGGATTACATGGAATATTATGAGGTGATGGTTCCGTTCCAGTCTTTTGAGGTATTGGGATGTCAAGTGGATGCGGTGTGCACGGAAAAGAAAGCCGGCGAGACCTGCGCAACCGTATTTCGCGAGGTCGAAGGTGCCCACGCTTTCACCGACAAGACAGGATATGACTTCGTGTTAAATGCGAACTTCGATGAAGTGAATGTTTCGTCCTATGACGCCCTTGTCGTCCCGGGGGGCCAGCCCTCTGCTTTTTATGTCTTGAATCATTCTGCTCTTGCGCTGATCAATCATTTCATGCAAAATAATAAGCCTGTCGCTTCTATCTCGGAAGGTCAGAAGATTTTGGCCGCTGCTAATGTTCTTGAGGTAATACTACGTGAATTGCTGGAAATTTTTTGTCGCATTATCATGTTCTATGGTATGTTGGAAAGAGTAAGGGCAAAAGAATATCAATGGAAACTCTTCATTATTGGCAATAAACCCTCTTAACTAAGGTTAATAAAAAGAAAGAAACAAACCCTGCTTTGAAGGGTAGCTGACAAATCACAACAGTACTCTTTAATATCTAAGTCTGAGATCATTCATAGATAGACATAGATATAACCAAATGGCTAACAACTTTCATTAACTAACACACCCAGGCAAATCCCATATTCGAGTATGTTTTGTCAGGTGATTAACGATTTTATAATTTGTTGGTTACGTACTGGTTGAGACAGGGAAGGAAGTGCACGGCTCACCCGACAGCGAAGCTGGGTGTGGTTCTGTCGGGAGGAACATGGTTGGAACCTGAGTCCATTGACCGTTGCTTCACCGACGGGAATTTGGTGACCGGAGCTTCGTGGTTCTGCCACCCTGAGCTCATTTCTCAGCTCATGGCACTACTCGATGTTCGTGTGTCTTTCTGAGCTATTTGCGGTCTTAGGAATGAGACTTGAAGCTTGTGTGCGCTAAAAAGAGAAACCAGCGGATGCTGCACGAATTAGAATAACAGTCTCTATGCTGTTCTTTCCGGATGCTATAAATATATATATATATATATATATATATATATTGCGGCTTCTTCTTCCATATCGTATTCAATGATAGGTAGAATATTCCCGAAATTTGCGTTCTTCTCGTGGTTGGTTGTTGAATTTGAGATTATAAAAGGAAAGCTAAATGTTTGATTTGCTACAACGGCCAGGGATGAACCTTTAAGCAAGTCGGTCGATCACTGATCATCCTTCTGATCTTCATCAGACGCCAAATGAAAATAATAGCACTCTTACATGTTTGAGCACTTGACTCCTCAAAAAGCCAATTTTTTTTCTTATTTCGGCGCCGACTCACGCGGGTATCATTGTTTTGCTTGCTGCGTACTGAGTTCTATAAAAGTAATGATCTCCTCCATTTACTGAACACCCAAAGGACGTTGGTCGCATATAAAGAAATAATAACCCTCGTTTACCCTTATTTCCCCAAGAAAACCATATTAGAGGAAGGCTCATTTATGTTGCTCTTCAATTCAATTCAGTTATCTCATCTTTAAATTATTCAAAGATTCCTATTTCAAAAATTACGTTTAAATATTGTAACATTTTAATATATATTGAAAATTCAAAATCTCTTTCCCCAAATTTTTGTCGAAGAATAATTCATTTTCTACGCATTAATATTGTTATCAAAATATTAGTAATAATTAAAGCAAAAAATTTAATGTTAAATTCTATAATATAAGTAGTGTATAATTTTTATTTTGAATTTTTAATCATAATTTAGAAGTAAAGGTATTTTAATAAATTTATATGGACTGAAGTCGTGTTATATATAAAATCAAGTTAAACACTTATCAAATGAAATAAAGATAATATACTGTCCCTTATTTTAGCCATTAGCAGGAGTTGTTCGTGTTATCATGAAAATAAAGAAAGAAAAAGTTATGCCACACCGCCGCTCCTCCTCCATAATATACTGCTTTCAGTGATCAAAGCGTGCTAAAGCCTAAAAGAAACCTACTGCGGAGGGTGGAGACATGTCCCCGAAATTAGCTTTTTAATCAACTTTCTTCAAAATGATCTAAAATAATCCAAAGTCAAAAGCTTCACATGTGTTTTTAAATCTAGTTCATTGAACAATGCAGGCCCAAACGCTTAAAAAACCTCGTAAAGATATGCATAAACTGCCATAAAACAATCACTCATGACGAATCCCTGTTTTGACTTGACCGATGATCGGGCCTCGTCCCAATACAAAGTAGCTCACCTACCTCAAACACTTTCATCCTCCTTAAAACCCAGCTGTGTTTTTCTTCTGCATCAGATTATCAAACACCAGACATGGCTCAGAACTCAGAAGAGGGTTCTCTTTCTTTGCGGTGATTATGTCGAAGATGCCGAGGTATAGATGCATTCTTCCATTTCTGTGTCGTTGCAATGTTTCATTATTAGTATTAATCACTATTTCATTTCGTATTTGGATGATTTGGATTGTAGGTGATAGTTCCGTTCCAAGCTCTGCAAGCATACGGCGTCTCCGTCGACGCCGTTTGCCCGGGAAAGAAAGACGGGGATACCTGCCCCACTTCCATTCATCAGGTCTCTTTGAAAGAATATCCCTGAAAATTTTACATATGATGTTTTCTCCCAGCAAATATTTCTTTTTGTCTAATTACTCCATTCAAACCGAAGTTTTTATAAGCATGGTTAGTTTCTCGGCATCAATTCAGTTCGTGTTTGAAACTAGGTTCGGATTGGTCCAGAGTTGCGTGGTCACGATTTCACACTCAACGCAACGTTCGATGACATCAAAGCCAAAAACTACGACGGATTAGTAATACCCGGGGGGAGGTCCCCAGAGAATCTCGCTCATATTGCAACTGCGGTGGAACTGGTTTCTGAATTTGCCGCTTCAGGAAAACCAATCGCTGCGATCTGTCACGGACCACTGGTTCTGGCGGCTGCCGGAGCCATTAAAGGTCGGAAGGTCACTGGATTTCCCGCAATCGCACCGGTCCTCGTCGCCGCCGGCGCACATTGGGTTGAACCAGAAAGCATTGCCTCTACTATAGCCGTCGCCGATGGCAATATCATCACCGCCGTTACCTTCAAAGGCCATTCTGAATTCATACGCCATTTTGTCAAAGCTTTAGGAGGCACCATTAGTGGCTCACCCAAAAAGATCTTGTTCCTCTGTGGAGTAAGTTTATGCGATCACTTTCATCACTTTTGTCAGTTTCCAAGTTCAATTCAACTGAACCATATGGATACAATCTATTTAACACTTTCAATTTGTAGGATTACATGGAAGATTATGAGGCGACGGTTCCATTCCAGTCTTTTGAGGCATTGGGATGCCGAGTGGATTCGGTTTGCCCCAAAAAGAAAGCCGGCGAAACCTGCGTAACTACATTTCGCGACGTCGAAGGAGGCCACAATTTCAGCGACAAGACAGGATATGACTTTGTGTTGAATGCGAACTTCGATGACGTGAATGTTTCGTCCTATGATGCTCTTGTCATACCAGGAGGTCGAGCCCCTGCTTATATGGCTTTGAATCACTCTGTTCTTGCCCTGGTCAACCATTTCATGCAAAATAATAAGCCAGTCGCTTCTATCTCCCAAGGACAGAAGATCTTGGCCGCTGCTAATGCTCTCAAGGTGATACTACGTTAATTTCTGGAAAATTTGTGTAGCGTTATTGTGTTTGTGTCAGTGTTCGTCAGGTGAGTTAACATTTCTGTTGGTTATGGGCTGGTTGATGCAGGGAAGGAAGTGCACGGCTCACCCGACGGCGAAGCTGAATGTGGTTCTGTCGGGAGGAACATGGGTGGAACCTGAGCCCATTGACCGTTGCGTCACCGACGGGAATCTGGTCACCGGAGCTTCGTGGTCCAGCCACCCTGAGCTCATTTCTCAGTTCATGGCGATGCTCCATGTTCGTGTATCTTTCTGAGCTGTTTTCCTGTCTTTGTTATGAAGCTTGTTTCCTGCAGACGCGTCGTTCTCGTGGCTGGGCCTTCAAATTGAGAAAAATAAAATGGTCGCATTTAAATTCTTCACATTGTAAAGTTCATCTTTTGTTTTGTTTTGTTGGGCCATCGGCCCATTTACCCTTGAAGTTTCATAGTGTTCGTATTTGTAATTGGATTTCTAGAGTTCAACCAAAAGAGACTGCAGACAGAACATCAAGCAGTATACATCGTTTGGTTTTCATATACCTAACCGTCTTAAATTTTGAATATGTGGATATATATAGTACAAAGAAAGCTAAGACAAATAATATGGTGCTGTTTACTAAGAACAGAAATATGCACTGTAAATCTGTAACGCAATAGCAATATTTCATCCAAAAAAATAACGCTAGGAAGAACAATAGAGTGCGAAAGCGAATAATAAGTGGTTCAATTGGAAATCTCGTTTTTACTCGCGGCAATGCCCACAGTCAGGGAATTGAAGTAATGAAGCAAGCCCTTAATTAATGCTGAAATATTTTTAAAAAAAACAGAGAGAGAGAGAGCATAAGGAAAAGTGAAGTGAAAATATTGCATGGAAAGTTAAAGAGGGAGGAGGCGGAGGAGGGGTGAAGCAGTGAAATGGAGGATGAAGCACTTTAGAGAGAGGAAGATTTGAATGAATGAGTGCGGTAGAAAGTAGGGATTTGAGGAGAGGCAACCAGCGAGGCAGAAATAATTGAGGGCTCTTTATGTAACAACTAGAAGCACTATCATCACACTTGTGGCGCCTATTATTATCATGTCAACAACATCCCTCCCATGGGCAACCTCAACTCTTCAAACCTCAAATCCACATACACACATAGTTAGATCAAACAATACTCAAATTTAACTCAATATTATTAATATTAACTTCGGTCATAAATATAACATTTGGTCTACAGTGAAAAGAGGTGTAATTCTGTTTTCATTTACAAGTCACTTGTAGGAAAAAAGTTTATTTATAAATATAAGTCATTTATAGGGTAGTTAACAAGCTTTTTCTAATTTTGCCCTTGTCAATTCAAACAGGTGAGGTGAGAGAAAACATCAAACATATCTCTTAAAATACCCTTAAATTGATAAGGACAAGAAATGGAAAAAAATTTATTAATTTAATATATGTCTTATTTTGCGGTTTGAAATACAAGTGACTTACAGTGGTGGCATGTGTATGCGTTTGTGTGAAGAGGAAAATTGGACATGACTAAAGGGATGTTTGGATGAAAACTAAATTATAGTTTTAAAAATGCTTTTACAGTATATGAGATAAATATGTGGAGTAGTTTGTCTCGTTTTACAAAAAAATACTCTTGAGAAGTACTTTTGGATGCTTCCAAACACCTCTTAAATGGAAATGAGGCTTGAGTAAATAATGAGATTATAGAAGAGGAAGAATGGCGAAAAGATAGAGGAGGGTGGGTGACAAATGGAGTGCCACATGGAATGATACCTACCTCTTCACCGTTTTAGAAGGGTGTGGGGATGGAGGGATGGACGGGTGGGTGGGGCTTTCCCAAAAACAATAATGGAGGAGTGAGGCATTAATAAACGACACCCAGTTTAGTGGAGATCGGATCGGAGAAACCTAGGTTGATGAATCTTAATAAGCTGCGTGCCTGGCTGGTCTTTTTACCCCAACCATTTCCCTCATGTGTGTTCAACATCCCAGTGTCTGGTTGTGAAATTGATTTGAAACATCATTTGAATCACCACTTGTCTGTGATTAAAAATTGATTAGATGGATCGTCGTTTAATCAAATGTGATGACCAGAAATTAGAACGGAGACAAACCAGGTCGAGGGATCCAAATTGGTAATGAATGGATTCCCCGAGTGGAATTGAATGAAAGGGAGAGGGATGGTTGAAGATGGGGGGTGTTGTGATATAAAAGGGCCTTCAATTTTCCTAACATACGCTGATTGGATATAAAGCTATGGGCTCTGGGGCCCGCCATTTCTCACCCCCCCCAGGGCAATTAAAAGTATATATTAAATTTAATACAATTATTATTTGTTTGGTCTGCCCTTCATCATCATTGTTTCCCTTACCTACGGTTTGGGGAGAATGTAATTCGAGTCCCCGTGACTGATGAGTCCCTTGAATTAATGAAATCTTATTCAACTTTCAAGAGACTTCATTGACTAAAATTAAAAATTAAAATAAGTTTAGTATTAAAACGCTCTTCGTTTTTTTCTTAAAATTAAATAAATAAAACCCTCAATACTTGAGCCACCGGGGGCGAGTGGCGACCGCCAGGACTTTGGTGTTAGTGTGGGTGTGGCAAGGCTCCGGTGGCGGTCAGAAGTGAAAAGCCTGCCACAAAACAAGCGTTAATATACTTAGACATGAAGAAATATTTAGGAAAGATTACGGATTACCTAATGCTTTAAAGTGTTCTTTTCTCTAATACATTCGAGAAATTTTATTTCATAATCATTATCCACTATTAAATTTCAATTGATAAATGTAAAAACCTTTTTTTAAAAAATAAAATATCAATTATACGTTAAGAATAATCAACATGATGAATCCGAAACAGGTATGTATGCACAAACATAAAGAACATTTCAGGCATAAAGACCTCAACGTCACAGTTAAAAATAGTCCGAACGACAAAACTCCGGCGAAATATTAGTCGCAGTAGTAAACTACCAACTATGATAAACACGCGGATGGTAATAAAATCCGTTGTCCTATTCTTGACCACCACCACCTGAAAATTGTTTTTATAATATTGCATTAAAAATTAGACCTTCTAACATGTAATTAATTGGGAGTAGAAATAAAAAATATTAAAATCTTGGACATTTTTGAGGTGCATCTCATTAATAAGACTACTCTCACCCAAAAATTGTATAGTTACATATACATACATATGTATATTTGTATATATGTTTAAGCGAAAGGCGGAGTTATTTGCATCAAATTAAGAAAGTAGATTTTGTATTGATTGAGTGAACAATTGTACGTAAACCTAAGAATGGATAGGAAAGAGACAGGGGAGAGGTCAACAAATCCTGCCCCCATTACCTGCTAATCTATCAATCAACTCCCAAATGTTTCAACGTAATAATGTCTACACATTCTGCGTTACCCACCCCCATCACAATCAACCGGGCAGAATTATCGTACGTCTGGTCAATGATATAAGAACATGGTTTTATATTAAAACACTCAATTTATTTTGGGACAAAAAAAAATGATTGCTTGATTTCAAATTTTCAAATGAGTATTGGTTGTTATCTTAGTAAAGAAAATTAATGACAATATATCTTCTTGATATGAAATTTTAAAATTCAATAGTTACTTTTTTTAGATTTTTCTTTTTATTTTACATCTCTTATTTTTTCTAAATCATTGTTACTATCTCTGGTTGTTAATATAAGATCTCGTTTAATTTTTATTTTGGTTCTAATTATAAGATTTCAATCCACTTTGTCTCTCATATTTATGTATTTTTTTTCAAGATAATCCTTTTAGTAATGATAGCTCTAACCACTACACTTGATTAGTAAGGTTATTTTAGAGAAGACAACATCTATTTATGACAAATAAGTAACTTAACTTATTTCTTTAATCTCCTCAAATTAGTCAATTAACTCTTATAATTAGGATCGGAAATAGTATTAATTGCAAGAAGTTCTCATCGAAGATTATTTTAATACATATGATTAAAAAAATAATTTGAAAAGGTTAACATACAGTACATCGTTTAACAAATAATCAACTTAACTAATTTTTTTAATATCTTTAAATTAGTTATTTAGCTCTTGTATTAAAAGTCAGAGGATACAGACAATCATAATATCTATTATTCACGAATCGTTAATATATATATGATTTATCTCCAGCTATTGGGTTCGCAGTCTTTAAAATCTTAGAATGCTGGGTAAAAGCGAGTAGTCATGCGTACTAAGTTTGGGCATATGTCTAGATATATATATATATATATATATTTAATTTCACAGTAAATTTATATCCAATTTGAATTAGCCAACCGCGATAATTATATACTGGGATATAAGTTTATGTGATCAAGCCTTTCTTCCATATGAGTTCTCAAAAGGATCTTCGAAGCATTTCATCAGGGGGGGGGGGAAGATATCCGAAACGTGTTCCACGAGTCAGGACAGGTCACTCGGTGATGATTCAGCGATTGTTTGAAATGAAAATAAATATTTGTACAATAATCAAGATTAAAAAGAAAGAAAGAGGGAAAAAAAAAAGAAAGAAAGAGGGAAAAAAATAACTGCACAAACCCGCACAAACCTACACGATGCGATGGCCATTGGTACTTGGCACTTACTACGAGTTACGATCCACTCTCCCGCATTGTTGTTTCACATGCATGCATCGAAAATAAACTTCTTGTATAATCAATTAATGTGAGATATAAAATTTATAACAATTATAACTGTCATTTGCAATACGTAATATCAAAAAATGTGAGATTGGTTTATTGTATTGTTTTTCTATGATTCAAGTATGTCCTTGCAATGTTGATGGCCAGAAGCATGATTTTATTTCCACTTTTATCATTTGAATCAGTTGAAACAGTATCGGAACTAGTTACGAGTATTTTAAACTTATCAGATATATATTATCTAAATTTAACTTAAATAGTCCAGATTTAATCTTTTTATTTTTACTTGTTTAAGATAATTGTTTTAAGATGTATAGAATAGAAAATAAAGATAATCTCTCAATTTTTTTAAAAAAATAATTTTTTCTATTTAAAAATAATTAATTAAAATTTTAAAATCTAAACCATTTAAATAAGAGCTCACTGGTTAAGATCTAATGAGTTTATGACGCTCATTACTAAAACTGGTTCCAAATAGTATCACACAGTTTATTAAACAATATTAGATGTTATATACACACATTAATATTTATATATCTATGTAGAATATAAAATTTACATGAAATCGCATTATTTGAAAGCAATGAACGACACAATTCATCTTAAATTTTATGCAAATTGTAGGTTAGAGCTTGATTTGGAAAATGCTCTTAATTCATTTCACTGAATTTTCGTCTGTGATTAATTAATTTATACATGAATCGTATAACATCTTGTTGAATTTTCTCATTCCACGGTACTAAAAATTTATCGTCTTCTACTCTTCATATCCCTAAACGGGCAGACATTCATAATCCTCCTTCCATATGCTGTAGAATGTATTCTTGGCCACATTGATTA